CTGGGATAAGGAGTATACAACAAATATGAAGTCATCTCCAGTCGCAGCCTGACTGGAGAAGACCTTTGGAATTCATGTCACCTCCAAACAGCTGCGAAACTTCTAGTATGGAGTCACCCATGGATAGCTACCTGGAGACCAGTACTCTCGATCTGGAAGACCTCCAACATCGAGCAGCTCCGACAACGTCGCTACGGTCCAGGATATCATCTTCACCGCAGTCGCCAAGGCGCGGTTGGTGGTATGGACCGGAAGTTCCTGGAATGTGAAGACCGATATTTTCTTCGTGGACCCCGGACTGAAGGTGAGCGCTGACGGTTACATCGACCAACTCGTGAAGAATATCCTGCCTTCATGTCATCGCCTGTACCTTCTTGGAGACTTCGTACTGCTACAGGATTGGGTGCCTCCACACGGAATCGAAGGGCGTTGGAAAAACTCTCGCCTACTTGGAATGGAAGGGCGTTGAGTACCTGAAGAAGATGGAATATCCAAGTGTGTCACCTGACCTAAACCCCTCATTACCCGGTTCGGGCGGAGCTCAACAGGGTGGTCTACAGTGGCGGAGAAATCAACGATCTCGCTGAACTCAGGTACCGAATCACGGTCGCGTGGCAGAATCTCTCGATGGCGCTCCTCCAGAAGGCTGTGGCGGAGTATCATAATAGTATTTAATATGCTCTTTAATATGGTGGTAGAAATGTCCGATCAGAATTTAATAAAGTGTAACTTATAGCGCCTCGAAAGTCAATGAAGAAAAGTGACTTTTTTTGCCCCCCCCCCTGTATTTATCCTATGTCTTTCATCCTCTACGACCAAGTCTAATAATTTCATGAATGCAAATGAAACGATTGAAAAAAAAGATAAACTACTGTACGAAATGACCACCTGAAGGTTCTACCAGGGACAATTCGGGCACGATGGCTCATAATGGACACTTTATGTAGAGACGGTTGCCGATTGAACAATACTATATCACCATCATCCAGATGACGTTCAACGATATCTCCCACTTTCAAGCTTGCTGCACAGGTCTCACGATTACCGTATCTAAATCACTTCGAAGTACACTGAGAATATAAACAAGCAGACAGTTTCATCGATCTCCACTTACACCAATTGCGGTTCACTTCTTTGATGCCTAGGAGGTCTGTCCTTTGAAGGGATCTCTTCAGGGGTGCATTATGAAAAATCCGAACTCCTCCCCAAACAGTAGGTATAACACACCCAAAGGAAGTATGAAGGTTACAATACAAAA